CTTCACCTAGATGTAGTCAATTGATCCCACCATGTTATAGCATAAACTACAAATGTGCTCACAGCTAACTTCAACCTTTTCTCCTAGGAATAATTATGGTACTCAAATATCAACACTACCTTTTCTTCCCACGCCAAGTGTGCCTTTGGATCACTCCTTCCCTTAAATAATGGGATTGTCATTTTAATACTTCCAAGACTCCTATCAACACCATCTCCAAAAAGATTTATATCCATTTCTTCAAGCCTAACTCTCCTTTGCTTCATTTTTCGTATTTCAGCCTCAACCAACGCATCTTCATCACTATCACCACCATCTCCATACATATCACGAATGTCCATCCTAAGCTCCCGTCTATCCCACATCCTCACATTGGATTCTGCACGTTGTCCCATATGAAGGTTAGCACATTTTGTTTCGAACAGGTCTAGTTTGTTTCTCATATCCTCACACAACCTGTCAAGTCGTAGAATCATCTCTTCGACGTGTTGATCAGAATTTGGTTTCTGCATGAATTTGACTCTTCCATTTTTATTTTTATTTTTACTTTTTTTGACTCTCTTTTTTATGACTCCTTTTTTGACTCTTTCGATAGAAAACTTGACTACGAATCCAACAAAACAGATAAAAGTTGATTTGAATACTAAATTAGCCCAAAAAACAACTTTTAAAAATTTTGATTGGATTTTTGTGGATCAAAGACTCAAACAAATTGAAAAATATGACGAACATGAAGAACAATGAAAAACAAGAACAAAAGACTCAACAAAATAAAAAGGAAAGATATAACCTTGACTTTGGAGTCTAAGCTCTAATACCAACTAATGAGAACCCGCGTAACAACAACGACCATGAAACCCACAACTAGATTTCCATCGGATTCGCTAAATTAGCCCAAAAAACAACTTTAAAAAATTTTGACTGGATTTTTGTGGATCAAAGACTCAAACAAATTGAAAAACATGACGACCATGAAGAACAATGAAAAACAAGAACAAAAAACTCAACAAAATAAAAAGGAAAGATATAACCTTGACTTTGGAGCCTAAGCTCTAATACCAACTAATGTGAACCAGCGTAACAACAATGACCATGAAACCCACAACTAAATTGCCATCGGATTCGAACTCCAACAAGCAAGGTTTTGGATTTAACCTGCAAACAGTAAACCAAGCAACAAATAAGTGAATAAATTACCGACCTCTTGATCACAAAATTTAAGAGTCTCACCCGGATTTGTAAACGCTATAAGAAAATTAATTTATTGATAAGTTCGAATCATTCAATTAAGAACAAGGGATTTTGAAGCATGAAGCATCCCGAGAAAATTCTCCATCAATTCATAATAAAAGTCTTGGTTCCAATGCAAGAAAATAAAGATAGTATTTATAATAAGCCTAGGAAATAGGAAAAAACGAAATTTAGAATCTTAAAAATATAAACTTGACAAAAAAACTAAAAGTTTTAATCAAATTAAAAGTCTTGTGCGAAAAGGAAAATTACTCCTCCGAATTTAGTCTATGTGACCGCACTGTAGAATTCTGTGTGGTCGCAAGGGCTATATGAAAATCCTCCATTTGCTCTCGGGTAATAGCTTTGCGTGTTGCCTCCCCGTCCATTGTCCAAACCAAGCTGCTCCAATTCATCTCTTTCTTGTTTGATCCAAGTTGTTCCAGTCAGTGATCCCCTTGATGCAACTTGATGTTGGCTTCTTGTCTTCAACCTCTAGAACTCCATAGCCTTAGACACTTGATTAAATGGTTTTGCTGCCCTTTATCAAAACCAAGCTTGTACTTAGACTCATCTTGCCAATCATTGAACTCTCTATTACTTGTGGCCTGTCCCTGATCACACTACTGAAATTTTGTGGTAATTTAAATTTAATTCAGAGCACACACATGCAACAAGGCCCACCCTGATTTGAAAGGAAAATTTCATTTGTGAAAGGAAAATGGGGATCAAAAGGAACATAAACTTTCTTCAAACTACATTTAGAGTCAGTTACATGATATCTTTTTCTTTTTGAAATGGCATAAACTTTTGAATGCAAAAAATGGCTAATCAATAATGTAAGTTCAGGTCTGGGACACTACACAAAACTTTAACTTTTAAGATTACCAAGTATACATTCCAGATTACCGATTAGTTCGACCGTACGTGCAGAATTGACTAATTAAAGGAACACGTCACATTTAATTAGGTATATAGATGATTAAACAAACAAACCAATTTCTTATGTTTGAATGCCACAATAATAATATGGAAAGTAGTAAAAACACAAGATTTGTTTATGGAGAAACCCAACATAGGAAAAACTCTAGGACCAAGCCGAATCACAAGAATGAATATGATGGATTTACCAATGGGTTGTGCATTGGATCTCTTGAACAATGATATAAAAGTGTTATAGATGTAAAAGCACAATGAACAACCATAGAATTTTTATCCATGACTTTGGTATTTATTGTTGGGGGCAAAAAAGTGTAATGGACCATGTAAAGTTATCCAAAATCGCTACCTAAGGATTAATCATTTAACATTGCCGCTTGAGCGAGTAGCTAGTGACTTGCGACAGGTGAGCGATAGCTGAATAGTCATCAGTATTTTCATTATAACTTTCTCTCCCGATATTCGATTGAGGTGATTCAAAATGCATTGAAAAAGTAACTCAAAGGCCTACAATTCTTCTAACAGCTTTGTCCAAATTCCAGTGTTTTCTATACAAAAAATGTGTTTTAATTTACAAATGAGAATTTAGAACATAACTTGTGTGGCTCTTTGATATCCTTTAGATTTCTAATTGCATTCTAATGAACATGTCTGATCATCTTGGACTCTTTCAACGACTATACTACCAAATCTAAAAAACCTTTTTTTTTTTTTTTTAACTTTTACAACTCTTTTACATTAATCCATTTTTTAAAAAAATCGTCAATAGACTAGAAACCTAACAATCTTCCCCTTGGCATTCTTTGACAAAACTATACAATGAAGTCAAGATAATAAAAGCAAAAACCTAATCTACACAAACTCCGTTTCTTGCATTCCTTGTTAAACATGTTTCTTAAAATCAAAAACTCAAATACCCATTGTAAAAGCATGTGATACAGGAATTGTAAAAATTGAAAGTTATAGTCATAAATAAGCATGTTAGTTTGAGACGTGATATTAATGTCAATCAAAGCATCAACCGAAATATTAACATCACAAAACATCAAAACTCAAATAGCAATGGATATGATATGGAATGCAATGCTCCCCTTTACTGCAAGCTCTCAACATTTTTTTATGCAGCAACAAAATGTATCTATGTCTCTCCCAAACGACCGCTAAACATAACAATGCAACAATCTTCCCTTCTATATATGCTCTTCATATATTCTTTCCCCCTCAGTTACATATTTCTCTTCCCCTTTTAGTCACAAATACTAAAAGCAATGATATCAAGATCAACTAGAGCAATAATATATAACACCTTAAAATGCAGTTGATAACATGTACAAGTAAAATCAATAAGTAGTAAACCTTTCCATATTCTCAGTGTAAGTCGAAATGAAGTAAATAATATAAGTGACTCATGTATGTAAAGCGTCACTAATCCAATGCAAGTAGGACTTCAAACTTTAATTTTGTGAGAAATGACATGCTAACCAATGCCAATAAGTATATTATCTTACTAATAAAAGTCAAACAAACCATGTGAGTGCATTAGGACCTATACTTATTATTTTCATTTTTCTCTCCCTAACTTTGAGCTTTTATATTTTTCAAATATTCACATTTTTTCAGCTCATCATATTTTTCACATTTTTCAAGCTCATTATATTTTTCCTCTTAAGTCCAGGTCATTCTAAATTAGGCGACTAAGATAACCCCTATGGCGTAACCTAAATCAATTGATCATAGACACCAGAATTTAAGGAACCTCGCAAGCTTAATTACTCAAGTCAAATAGGCTCCAGAAAAGAACATTAAGAAATTGAGCTTTTATATAATAAGGAAATCTTTTTGAGCCTAGGTCTAATTAATTTGGTCAATTCATATTCAAAGTCACCATATTAACATGTGACAGACGTCCCAAATCTCACACACACAATAGAATCCCACTAACAAATTCATAATATGCGCAGTGCAGATGATACATGAAAACACATATAATAAGTAATCCAAAATAACCTAAGCAAGCAATGAAAGTCATGCTACAGCTTATCAATTTTAGCTCATACATGATCACAACATACACATTCAAGAATTATATATCATACTGTAGGAATTTTCGTTTTTTTATTTTTCAATTTTTTTCGTGTTTGTCTTTTGCAAACATGAATATGCGACACACCAAGAAAAAGAATGTTAAGTACAGAAAACAAAACAAAATATGCATACGTTAATGCAAACCAATGAAAATGCACATGCATGAAACCAAAAACAAATGAAAATAGACATACAAATACAAAGGATGCATGCATAAATCATATGACAATTAAAAACAAGCATATATAAAAAATACTTAATCTATTAGGTATCTCAGTGCTCTTTCTCATAAGAGCACCATGATTTACTTCAAAATTTCGCGGATCACTCTTCTTCACTCATACCTGTCTAGTGGGAGAATAGTTTCTAGACAGCTGTGTCATCAATTTAGTCAAACAATTCACTTGATCAATAATGAGTTCAATCTAATCGAAGACGCCTAATTTTTGTTCCTATTTCTGTTCAGGTACTAATGATATCTAGAGCGTATATGACCTAATAATAACAAGCTGGGCCTTGTTTTAGTAAATTTAGAATCGTTATATTAAATTTTTTTCTTCACTCGGTACAAATCACGACTCGATGAAATAAAAGTAATCAAATTTGTCTCCTTATATTCATCCAATAATTACATCTAACATGACAACTTCCACCGCCCCAGGTCTTGAAAAAGGTCACCCCCTTACAAGAAAAGAAAGCAAATGGCTATTTGTGCTACTGTGCGGAGTCTGCGGGCGCGCAAGGGATAAAATAAAATAAATAATGTGTACTTGGTCATAAAAAGGGAGAGATATTACAGCACTTTTTGGGTACATCATTAGGCCATGAGAAACAAGTACATAATAAAAAGATTACAAAATTGATTGACAAATGACAAAAAAATAAAACTTTAGGCAGTAAATTCTTGACTTAACAATCTCAAAGTTCCTCAATAAAAGCCTTCAAGTTCTTAGTAGAAGAACCATCCTCTTGCATAGCTTCTCTAGCAGAATTCTTCCATTTCTGAGCATTCTCTCTCAATTCTCGACTTTTTTCTCCGTCGTCCATTACTGTTTCAATGCACCTCTTGATCTCGTCGCTCTCAACGGTGCCATCTTCTCTTGGGTTCACCCTTAGGCCTGTCCTCCAAACATCTTGTATAAGCTTTGCATTGGACGCTTGATCAGTCCATTGAGGAAATGCCACCACAGGAACACCGCATGCTAAACTTTCCAACGTCGAATTCCAACCACAATGAGTCACAAAACAACCCAATGAAGGGTGTGTTAGGACCTCAAGTTGTGAACACCATGGTACTATTTTCCCTATTTTTTCCAATTCATCCAAACAACTTAGTTTATCATCGTCATTTTCTTCTTCTTGGTTCTCGTTTACACGTATAACCCACAAAAATGGTCGTCCACACTCGAGCAATCCCTTAGCAATCTCCTCCATTTGAACTTTTGGGAGCTTCAAAAGACTTCCAAATGACACATAAACCACAGAAGATTCTGACTTCGAGTTCAACCATTGAAGATAATCGTCGGATTTATGAAAAAGATCTCCACCAACGGCCTTATCCAATGGATCTTTTCCATTTAAGAAAGCAGAGGGAATTAAAGGTCCAATCCCGATTAACTCGTAATCTTCAATCGCCTTAAGTGCATCGGGCTCTAGTGCATCAAAAGTATTCACGAGCACTTTTGGCTTTGTTTCTGCATCCAATATCTCTAGCTGCTCTTTAAACGTCGGAAGAGCAAATTTATACCGACCGCCTCCACTTGAAGGAACCATAAATGATGGAAGATCACGTTTAGCTAGCAATGGAAGTCTAGGAAGTTGGATTGCCCACGACGGATCGTCCGAAGAATTATTGATTTCTTCACCGTAGCCATTGAAATAATAGTAGTATATATCCAAAACAGTAGCTGGTTGAATCCACAGAAGAGCACTCGGGATGTGGACTTCATGCGCCACCTCTGCAGCCCAGGGGAGTAGGAGTGTGTAAACTAAGGACGTAACTGGGCGTCCTTGCTCTGCACTGGCGAGAATAGTGTCCCTCAGGGTTTCAGAACCGCGGTTTCTAATCTCCGTCATGTAATGCTCTGGATCGTCGCTGGGTTTGAACCCATCGTCATATCCATCGGAAAAAGCAGCAAAAGTAATGCCATTGGGGATGTCAGCGGCAGCTTTGGCCATCCGCCGCTGGGCGTATAAACTTGTTGCGAAGGTGACTTCAATGCCATTTCTGAGAAGGGTCTTGGCAAATGTCAGCGATGGATTGATGTGACCTTGTGCCGGAAAAGTTACTAGAATCACATGAGGGCCAACCATTTTTTGTGTAGAGAAGAAAATTGGTGTATGGGATAATGATAAGAATGTTATGCGGCATGGAAGTGGAAAATTCTGTGATCTGGAAAGGTGTAGATAGGATGGGATCCTTTGTGATGTATATATAGGAGGAGGAAAAAGGCATTGCATGACGTATGGGATGACGATTTATGGTAGAATCGTTGGGTAATTTGTCTCGTTACTCATAAATAATTTGTAGAAACAAAAATAAAAGATAAAGCTTGACGTTTGAGATGACATAAAAGCATTATAACGTTGAACAGTTTCTCTTGACCTTGGAAATGATTGGACACTGATTGCCTATTATGACCGGCAGCAGTGATAAATTTAGTCTCATGCACGACATAAGCTGTCAAAATCAGATTTCGTGCAATTCATGAATCAACGGCTGAACTGGAATACTTACATTGTAAGTCTTCGAAGATAAAATTGAAGAAGAATCAACAGTATCGAAATTATGAATCTCTCTCCATAATCAGGGGCAAACGTAGACATTTTGTATTGAAGTCACAATTTAACTTGCAAAAAGGTCATGGAAATTTTTTATTCAGCAATTAGAAACCAAATAAATTATTCCCCATGTAATTTTACATCCAAAAATTTATATGGGTATGAATTTTTCGGATATAAAATTACGAAAATTTTTGATGTCATATCTCATGTAAAATTTTCAATAAAATAATGTAAATTATATTAAAAATTTGTATCATAAAAATAATAATAATTGAAATTTTTTAAAGAAAATATGAATTATACGTCTCTTTTTAAGACGCACACTTGATGCATCTTTAACTATTTTCGATATTTGTTTGGACCATTCAATAAATAGATGATGTAATTCTCGGAGTGAGCTTCGAGATGACATAGGCGATTGTGGATTCGGTTAGCGTACAATCGTCAGAGAATTTTTAAAATTAGCATGTTATCGAAATTCTCGAAATACTAATTTGGAACCTAGTTTGACAAGCCATAACATTAGCTACGGTTGACTGTTTTCGCATGCTATTAACAATGTAGAAAACTAGGTCATGTGCATTTCGACATAATATTAAGAATGCAATATATTCGCCCCCCAGGGTACATCCGAGTTGGTGGAACAATCACTATGGCGGGCTTGCAACCTCAGCGTAGAGAGTTCGATTCCTGATCAACGCAGTGAGGAGGATTCTCTTAGGCCCAGGGGTATAAATCAAGTGGGAACCTGGGAGCCAACAAGGGCATAACCTGCGATTTACCTCCTCGAGTTACTGAGGGGCCGGTGGCTAGAGGTCCAAGATTTAGTCTGACGAAACTGGGATACCTGGGTATCAAAAAAAATATTCCACTTCGTTTGACAATATATTAAGAATGCAATATATTCCACTTCGTTTGACATCTCATAATGACTTCAATAATTGAGACAAAGACATAGAAAGAAAAAATAGCCCCATATTTGGGGGTCACGTGACCCCCCATGCCCACCTTTGTATCCATCCATGAACACCCCACACCTTCCACAAGTCAACGACGTTAGACATTTTACTTTTTTTCTTATATAAGCATTTTTGAATGACATGACACTTTTTTTTTTTTTTATTCCAAATCACAATCTCATTGGAGATGTTCTAACATTGCCATGTGTTTTCTTCTAAAAGTGTGTAAATTGAGATATGGGAAAGAAATTCAGTTGGAATAGGAGTGGCCCAATTCGCATACATCACATAGTGAAAGCCTTCCTGTTGATAAGCCTTCCAAGTGCATTGTCAACCACACTTTGCATCAAAACAATGGTCCTTAACAAATGTCCTTCTTTTGAGTTGGGTTAAGACAACAATGAGATATTTGGTAATCCACGACTACTATTTCTCGAGAGTAGATAGTAAGGTCGACAAATCCTTACTCTAACTTTTAAGGGATAGATATACGAACTCCTCGATGAATCAAACCAAGGTAGAGATTGGTGTTCATACTTAAGTAATAAGAATGAAATTAATGTTGAGTCAACGATCAAAGAGACTAACACCTTGTGTAGGGTTCCAAATCTGTGCTTCTTTTTCTTTTGACGAAATTGATTGGATTTATGTGCTTAGTTGATCTAGCGCTCCTCTTGTTTCATATGGCTAATTTGATATAGTGATTTCATTTTGCAGTTTATAGAAGAACACAAAGGAAAGTAAAATGTCTAGCCTAACACAACAATTCACACTTCCTGAAATTTCGAGCCTATGATGCTCCGACTTTTCAAAATGGTCGAAGTACTAGTGTAGAACACAACACGACATGGGTATGGGTATGGGATATGTGTCGGATCCTCCTAATTTCAACCTGACACTTTTTGTCATTTTTGCTTCTTCTTCTTTCCTCTATTTTTCCTTTTCTTTCTCATTGTTGCTCTATATAAAATTGGCTCCGCCTCCAAGAGGGTGAGAAAGGTGACAACACTAGGTTTTCCATTTGTCTTCTTCTTCGTCTTCTTCCCTTTTCTTTCTTTTTTTCATTCTTTTCCTCTCTATATCTGTGGTTTAGGCATTTATTTGTATAAAATGAAAATGAGTTCCATATAGTGCTCCTTGATGCTCCCCTAAATTCAAATTACAATATAAATTTTCATTTCTATTTTATATAACATTTAGTAATTAACTTTCCATATTTAAAAATTAAACCTCTTATTCAATACTTATTTTCTTTTTTGTAAAAAACTGATTTTGGTCTATTCAAAATGATATATTAAGTTAGTAAAAAAATTGAAACTGGGAAGACGTACCTACATACCCATGTCCGAGATTTGGATTCTTTTTAACAATATCATCATATCCTACATTTTAGAAAATAAAATATTCGACACTTAGCCCCTGTTTGGAAAAATTTTCCGGCTACAAAATCAATTTTTGGACCGTTTGCACCCATTTGCAGCCACATTTGTTGACCAACACTCTCACGTGTGGGTCCCAAGTGACAAAAAAAGGGTAAAAAATTGCTTTTTTTGTGTGAAAAAGCTGCTCCAAACAGGGACTTAAACATGTTTCTGTACCCGATATCTATACCCGAGTTTAAGCATCATATTTTTGGACCATCCTTGTTGTACATTTTGAAAAAAATGGACAGAGTCCAAATACAAGCTTTTCCAATTCATGCTTGACTACGATAAAGTTTTTATTTATTATTATTATTATTATTATTATTATTATTATTATTATTATTATTATTATTATCATCGCTTTGAGATTTAAGTAAAAAAATAAGAAACAAAAAATAAAATACAAATTATCGAAGGTGAACATATTTATTTCACGAAACGTCCCTCGCAACTATGAAATGCTTGGAGTCACAGTCAATTACGCAACCTATTTTGCGATCAATATACTGTCATTAATTCTTTGATCCTTTAGTAATAATTTCTTAAGTCTCGTTAATGGAGATTGAAATCAATTTTTGGATAAATTTTGATAAAAATTAATAAAATATGTGATCAAAAAATTGTGAATCTCATATAATAGAAAGTAATCATTGATTTGAATCAAATAAAATATTGGACTCACAATCATTTACTCAATCAATTTACTTGCCTCGACAGTATTGTCGAAGAAGATCATAACACTGATGAACATCTCACACTTTTCCTTGTTGAACAAGCAAGCAAAATGCAATTTATTAAAACACTTGTTTATTGGCTACTTCAAATTTTAGATTCCCCTAAAGATAGCATTTTATGGCCGACGTATATCCTTTTCAAATAATGTGTGATTATAAGCCCTTTGCAGCTTATAAGCTCAGCCAAACATGTATCACTTTCGATCTCACCAAATGATAGCACAAACACAAAACAAAATAGTACAAGATACGCGAAAATATTTTTTCTTCTTGTTTTTTTTTTTAAAGAAATAAAACAAGAAATATTTAAAAACGTGTTATAGAATATCTTTATTTAGTATTATAAATTACATATTTAATATTTGAAAAAATATTCAACACTAATTCAAACTTTAATAAGTTATTAAATTTTTGTCGTATAAAAATCAAAGCCGGCAACAAAATTATGTTTTAATTCAAGTCCTCAATGAAGTTAATGTTAGTTTAGTTTTAGTTAAGATAGTCTCAATTTTATTAAAGTTAGCCTTGACTTAGTAATTAAACTGACTATATATTTTTGGAATGTATTGGACTGGACCACGAGAAATTAATTTATGAAATTGACAACATAAGTTTAATTTCACTTGACTATTGTACGGACTATCTCAATCTTGAATAGGTAATGAAATTTGATTACCAACTTAAAGTTCTTTGAAGTATCAATGAGTGAAATTAAATTGCTAATCAATATCACGATGCTTCAGGAATTTAAGTGCAATAATTGGAGAACATATATTCGCAATATGAGATTCGTAATCTATTTAATAGGCACAATCATGACTTCAAAAGATTTTCAAGTGGACAGTTAAATCAGAGCTCAATAATTCAACATTGACTGTTGAATTAATATTGTGATGTGATCACATGAAACTGTCATATAGAAAAATAAAACAAAGGATTTAATGTATATTTAAAATGGGACATTTTGGTCATTTTACTTTGTTCAAAATATTCAACATGATTAAGGGCACTTTTTGTATAACACATTGCAGCATCAGGCCCTGGGAAACAAGTACATAATAAAAAGATAGCAAAATTGACTGACTAATGAAAAAAAATAAAACTTTAGGCCATCTCTAATCATACATCAAAATTTGCACCGTTTTACATCAAATCTTGCACTAAACAGAAATACATCATCAACCCGTTACACCAAAAGTTGCATTAAATGAATATCGTTTAATAATTTTCTTCATTTTTTAATTCTTAATAATTTATTTATCTCGTTAATTATTTATTTATTTTATTATTGCATAAATTATTATACATATAATTATGTTTAGTTAACAAAAATTCTGAACTCATTAATAAATTTGAAAAATGTAGTACAACTAATAGAATACAACAACTAAGAAAATATTAATCATAATACTAAAAATAGTGTAATACATTTCGAATCGCAATATCATAATATTACAAAGTCAAAATAGTATTCACAACTAATTATTATTGATTAAATTATTAAAATTTATTACAA